CTCTCTCTCTAAAAGAGTTAAATTCATGAAACAGAGATTTCTACCCCTTTGTCTAATTTGGCTGAAATTTAACTAATAAAATTTATAAGAGCAGCTTGTGGGTGCATAGATGTATGTATGTGCAGGGCACGGTTGCATAAGGCGTTCCCTTAGGAAATGAAGCTGCAACCATTGTGATCGTTGCCCCTTTGCTTCGAAAGCAAGATGGCTGTTTGTAACCTGGTACACTTGGGCATGGCCATCTCAGATAGAAATGATTCTCCCCTTTGTACCATGGAGTTGGAAGCTGCACTTTTTTGAGTGGAATCTTCACTGGTTCTGCTGTGTTTTGCCAGTGCAAACTGGGTGGTGCCTGGCTAAGAGGGCATCTTCCTCCCCAGTATTATGGGCGGCAGGAGTCAAGATTTCCAGGAGCTTAGCTGGTAACGTGAAGACTAATTCTGTCTGTGTTCAATTATTTGGAGCTTTACCTTTGCAGTTAGATTATATTGCCTGTGCTTAAAACTCTATTTCCTCAGACGTTTTTGGTAAAGCAATTGTTACGGAGCCCTCTGAGAAATTAACTCTAGAATCTGATGTCTGGAATTTTATTGCTCGAGTTTGAGGCCCCAGAGGGGTGCAGTGTAAGTTTTTAGAGTGGATGATGGACATACCTTTCAAATCTAAGAAATATAAATAGCAGTTTTCTGGCTGGGTGGGAGAGAGCATATGGGTAAGCAGAATGCATCAAATTGCCATTTAAATCTTTGCACTTCCGTCTTCTGAAATCTCATCTTGCTTGTCTTCATTGCTGTTCCCGATGACTTCTTTTCCTGTTCATTCCAGCAATTAAATGAAAACTCCTAAACTCTAAGCAAAACTAATCTTTTCTAGTCTCTTTTGTGGATGGGGGAAAGAGACAGTGTGCCAACCATAGGTTGTATCTTGCTATGTAATACATGACTCTCAATTGTATTTTCCTATGTAATACCTGAAGTTTGTTCTCCTGATACTTGAATAAAATTATGTAACTGCAGTTCTTATTTTAAGAGCGAGCCCTTTTTCTCTCTGTACTTTTATTCATGGTTCTGTGGCTGCTGGTGTCCGCAGGGTGCGATTCCTGCCGGGATGTGTTTTGGTGTGCGCTTCCCGGGCTGCCGGAGCTGCGGGATCCAGGCAGCCCTGTGTCCGTAGGGATCCAGGCAGCCCTGTGTCCGTAGGGACACAGGCAGCCCTGT